GCGCTACGATCGGGTCAAACCAGTCGGAACGGCACGCGGAAGAAGAGGCAACGTACGTACCAAATGCGGACCAAAACCAACAGGAATTGACCAACAGAATGAGGCATGAATCATCCTGCCGCGCGGTTAAGAACTGATTGTACATGACTGAACGCATACACCGGTTGTTTTCGAATTGAATCAATTATTGTTTTGCCAGCCGAATCGCCTTTTCGTTTCACGATGACGAGGCTTATGGCCTTGGGTTGGGTGCTTATAGTCGTTCCCTAATAGATGAAATCGCTCTACACGGCCTCTGATGGCTCGGTTAGGTCTTGCGTGTGCTTGCCCATCGTCTACTTCTCCATGCTCTCTTCGTACATGCTGGGCAAGGCAGACTATGGTAGGGCTTCGGTGGGTGCAGCTCATGTTTCAGGTTGAGATCCAAGGGATGAGGAGTACCGTGGGTAAGAGACGCTGAGAAATATGGCACAGAACAGAAGTCAGTGGGACGAATATCCTACTCTTGTGCCCCAGAAAAGAATAAACGAAATATGGAATACAGTAACAGAATCCGATGGCTAGCTAACACTTCGAGAAACACTTACCGCAGCTTATCAATGGTCTACAGAGAACGACATTAAATTCAGTGTTTCTCAATGCAAAGTCCTATCCCTACGCCGCAAGAGTAGATTCTCATATTTTCTCGGAAACCGGCAGCTGCCAACTACCGGTTTGAACCAGCACTGATTCCACAATTGCCATTAGTGTACATTCCACCGTACACAGAGTACACCATCCAAGCTTGGATTCCATGGTTGCAACGTGAATCGTAAGATGCTAGAGCGTCCACAAAGGACTGCCACCAAGATGGTCAAAGGATTGTATTACCTCACCTATGGGGAGAGATTACGATCATTGGGACCATATTTTGTTCAGTACCGCCGAATTCAAGGAGACTTAATTTTGGCGCATAAAATACTGCAGAACCCAAACTGTCAATGTCGGAGGCTGATCATGTTGTAGAAAAATATACATCTTAGGGTACACCGCTTCAAGTTACGGCTTCCAAAGTGTCGATTGGAATGCCGGTGCCAATCTTTTGCAGTCAGAGTATGCAGTACTTGGAACAGCCTTCCATCTCACGCCGTTTGTGCGCCAACTGTTGAATCTTTCAAGCGGAAACTCGATGAAACCCTGGTACACCTCAAATTCCTACACAACGAAAATTATCTGCTATCCCCTGCCCTCTATGCGACACTTTATCATTTTTTTCTCCAAGAAACGAATCAACTGTGTAAATATCCCACGGGAACAAGAGAAGCATGGGCTTGTAAATAATTCCCTTAATAAAACTTTGACTTTGACATCATCGCATCTAATTTTTGGATCATCTGTATTTGTTCTCAAAGCTGTTTCATTATGTGTTATCGTTGCTGCGTTGGAATCTTGCTTGTCCGCAACTGAAAAATAGGAAACGATGTGGAACCCATACTGCTGACCACTTTCGGGGGGATAAGGAGGCAGTGATTCAAATGTGTGCATTACAGGACAGTGAAGAGTAAATCCATGGTGAAAAATGATCTCCAAACAACCGAGGTGAATACTCACTCAGGACAGATATGTTCTGTTGCCTTATTCGCTGGTAAACCGATTGTCTACTTGCTCTTTAACCATGGCACTCAAACCCTTGGTCACCATGGAGAGCATTTTTGCATTAAAATGCATTCAGCTACAGAAAATGAACTGGTTTTCAAGAAATTACAAGGCATTACTCTTCGGTCTCAAAAATCCAAATGCTCCCAGTTTTCTACACCAAAAAAGGATGCAAGATTTTCTGAAAGGTGTGAGCTAGCGCGTTTCGAATCTAATGTGAAATGCTACTGCGTGAGTGAGTGAAGTGGTCCAACTCTCAAGCTCAGTCTAACGAGAGAGGTGACAAAGAAAGTGGACAAACTTTACTGCAGCTCTTCCGGTGGATGAATTTCGGATGCAACAGCTGTCCAGTAGATTCTATTGTATGCGATGATCGGCCCGACGAGAAGAAAAACGCAGACCATTCCTGTTTGACTACTTGTGTCTGCATCGCACGGGAACATCGTCTAGGGGACTTGATCGTGGAGGTCACATTACGCTTCCCGAATGAAATGGCCGTGTTTTAAACAGTTACACTGGTGCAACTACCCACTTTATGTACACATCAAGTTTACTCGCATTCTGCCTTTTTTATTTTGGCACCGCTCTCCAATTTCCGTTCGATTTCCCTCTCCTCTTCATTGTATGACCGAATGTGTGACTGAGAAACAACCGAAACTGATGTATTGTATTGCATTGAGATAATTTGTGCAAGCAACTATCTCTACCTTTCAATCCAAATAATGAAAATTCCATATGCAACAACGATAAAACGTAAAAAGAGAAGAGCGTGTGTATATAAACAATCAGTTCGTGTATGATTTTCTTCTTGCCAAATAGGGTACTGTACAGCACACTAGGCAGAGAAAATTGGATGTGATTGCTACATGGGAACGGTAGATAAATAGATCGGGACTGAGCGAATGACTGAGGTAATAAGAATACTCTTATAGGCGAAATTCTTATACGAGTTAATGTTAACATTACACAGTATTTAATTAAAGAGTTTATGGGAATAGGAGAAACACGGATAACGATTGCTAAGCTGCGGCGAAGATTGATTACATTCTTCTTAAGTAGGCCATGGAAAATCGCAGGACAATAGTAAAGTAAGACAGGAACAGATGAAAAGAGAAAACCAAAACAATTCATTCATACTGGAATATCGCACCACAATCATCATCATCATCGTACAGCATTATACGGTGATCACTGATCGCAGCCAAAGAATATTCTACCGGGCTATCCCAAACCGATTCAGACCCGTAAGATAGCAATTGTATAAAGTTGGAGACATGAAAGAAATCAAAAAAGTAAAAAGTGCGTTATCGCGTAATAGGAAGCCATTAAAAGCAAACAAACAAGCTTTCTTCCGAGCCTTCATTGATCGATAAAATAATGACGGCATGGTACAATCAAAACACAGGGACTTACGCATAGGGAAATCTGTCGTTAGTCTTGCGTAATAATTCAAAGGAAGACCGCATGATGGTAATGTCTGCTTGAGATAAATGATGGAGTTGGTTGCCAAAATAACCACACCACCTAAAAGTTAAAAGTAGATGAAGCATGGGTAAGTGGTGAAATAAAACTAAGCTCAAAGTAAAACGACGAGAATAAGTAAACAAGAGAAATCAACAAACAACACATTCAGGGAAGAAAAAGGGAGGAATAGAGGCGAACACGGACATCGCTCGTGTGGAAATCAACCCTGTTTAAATGATAGAATAAACTCAAAGATGCACATGTTCTACCAAGGGTATAGTGAACCGTGAAACTTCTGTGAATTGCCTGGATTGAGATTATTTGCCAAACGCAAGAACATTTGATGAAACTTGGAGGAACGACGAACTCCGTGCATCTTCGCTAAAACCTTGAAGGTCAGCGACATTCGGTAGGAATTCTTCCGGTTGGCCATCTCCGCACCGCTAATTGTCACTATCACCCAATGGTGGCGGTGCAGACATCTTAAAGAAAACTTTATTGTACTATGCACAGCCAGAGAATGAACTAAGCAGTGAACGTTGATTGTTCATGGAAAGCGTGACTTATATATAAGTCCGCTGATAGACAATAATAGATGAAGACATGCTGAACGTATATTGAGTTGAAACTCACCGATTGGTTGGGGTACAGGATACAGATAACTACAATCGTATGGTAACGATTCTTGAAACCAGATCACCGGGTTTGTGCGCTTTTGAAGATTAAAAGAAAGTGCCACAATGCAACAAGTGTCTCTTCGAGCTGAAACCCGGCTAAAAGAGAGCGAAGGAAATCAGAAGACTGAATACTTGAACATTACCCAGCCCATGTGCCGATCGGTTCGTACAGAACGAGCAATGTGGGCTCATAGAAACCGTGCAGAAATTGCATATCAATAACATTGTTGATTTTTTCGCCGGTAGATGAACTCAGGCAGGTAGTGAAGGTGGCTAACAGTGGAGCGGTCGCGCGCCGTTCCCAAGACATGCCGCTTTTCACTAATTTTGCCGTGCTCAGTGCTGTTTTCTCGTTGGGTTGCACAGTTTCAGAACGACGGAATGGTAGCACCGCCAAATACCGATCATAAACCAATAGAACAGCGCATCGCTGTAGCGGATCCACGCGTAGCATTGGTGGTCGTGTAAAATGAAGACGTCCAGACTACAACAATGAAGGGTGACAAATAAAAATTCATGGTTAATACAACACATCCATATTTCCCCACGAGAAAAACGCCGAAAACCTCTCAGATGAGTTTTAGATTAATCAGATCGACTAGCCAGCAACCGTTTCATGAAATATCATAACTCAACGCTTGATTAGGGCTTGGTTTTCATCTCTATTCGTTTTCCAGTTGCAGTGTTTACGAGAAAGAGTAAGCATTAGAGTAAATGATTCCATTTGATTACTAGTAGATGAATTTGCCTTATTAACACATTCTTTGAAAATCTGTGGCTATACTCGGAAGCTAAACAGAATCTATGGTGGGTAGCCCATTCGGGATGAACAAACATCATCCCAGAATAAGCAATTCTAAGATATCCTTAGCGATATTGATGAAATGGACCGAAGACCGTCGTCGGTGAAGTTAAAAAATAGCACAGGTTTACATGAAAATCACGAACAGGCCTTGGGAAAAATAATGCTTCTTATTTATCACTTTCGTCGCAATTCACAGATATAATCACTGGATAGCAAAATGAACTTAGCTGATCGCTATCAATCGCATGAGGAAAAAGTGAATGAAGATAAATTTAGGGTGGAAAGGGAGTTTCCATGCCTGAACGACGGAAAACGAAGTGAACATATGTCGCCAATACATAGAATTTACTATCAGGCAGCAACTTTGGACCTCTTCGAACAACCTGACCTTCTGTCAAGTGGTAATAAGAACAATCAGCTATACTGGATCAAAGACACGTCTTTCGGCCTGCACAATCAACCGGTTTTATTTGTATTTGTATAACTTTTGCAAGCTGAGATATGCTTACATTTCAGCTAAAAATTGTACACCGGTTGTCACACCGGAGAAACTTTAGAAGTATAAACAAATTCAATAGAGTGCTGTGTAAAAAAATAAATGTCTTTAAAGTTTGATTCATATGATTAAATATTGACGTAATTGATTTATAACTCGTTCCTTGTTGGTTAAGATGCGAGCCAGAAATGGTACAGTGGAGTTTTTATAAATGTTTACTCGGGAGGGTAGGTACCGATAAGAGAAATGAGTGATCGAGTGGGAGTGACAAGAAAATAAGTCAAAATGCAAAGGAGGGGGTCGTTTGGAATCTTATTGGCAAAGGTCATACAAGACTTCATTTGACCATTAATAAGTTCTGTGATCAATGACTCCGCAGAAATTAAAGATGCACGGCTTATTATCATTAATCAATGACGGACAGTTTCAAAGTCTTGTTTCAATAGACTGGGAAACACTACAGGGGAGCAGTTAAGTAAAATAGGGAGAACGCATTGTTTAACAAAAGAGAACAAAACTTGTTGGGGAGTGCGAAATTGTCTGAACTTTCGGAGCTGAAAAAAGAGGTGCCGAAGTTTTCCCATACAGTTCTGAATGTGTCGACCACCGAAGATTACTATTGATAGTAACACCCAGATGTTTGGCTGAGGTCACTCTAGATAAAAGGTTACTATTAAGGGTTACAGAGTCTGATGGGAATGTAAAGCGGAAAGAACTAAAAATACACTCCAAGCACTTGGATGTGTTAAGATAAAGGCCAGACTGGTTTGAAAACTGCTCGATTCGAGACAGATTCTCAGTGAAGGAAGAAAACTCCGAAGAAGAAGAAATGTTCTGACATAAAGCGATGTCGTCGTTTTAGGATCTTTTAGACTTTGATTCAGAAGACAAAAAATAACTACTGCGAAACGTCTCATCGCATTTCTTAACACATGTCTTCCATTTCACCTAGTGGTTTTCTGGTATTTTATTCACCGAACGATTGTCAATAAAATGACCAGCG